CATCATAAACACCCTGGCAAACAAAGCCCTCTACGAAACGCGCCCGGGGAAGGCATCGAGCAGGGCAGCGCTGTCGAGTAAGCGCCCTGGACTGCTTAGCAAACGCACCTCATGGGTGGCCGGAAATGTTTTCCTCCCTTGGCTTATGTTCGGCTGCACGCAAGAGTGGCCCTAGGCAAGAGTGACCTCTAGCGCGCGGGTTAAAGGGGCGCAAGGTAGCCAATTCCAAGCGCGCTAGCGGCGCAGCCACTACCGCATCGCTCTCAGCGATCGGGGCGGACCCCAGTGAGCCCGCACCATAGGTCACTCTGGCGAAGGTTCACTCTTACGTGTTGTCGAAATGTTTATGTAAGAGCTTGTTTTGGTTTAGACCCCTGCAAATTTATTTGCATGGAGGGGGGGGGTCCTAAACCTGAAGCAAGCCGCGGACGACCTGCACGTGCGCAAATCACGCAAGTCGAAAGGCACTTGCACGCCAGCGCGCTAGTATTCGTTTGAAGAGGTGCGGGCTGGGGGGGGGGGGGGGCGATCGCCATGCAAGCCAACTTGCACGAATCTAAACAACAAAGAGTCTCTACCTCTTCTTCTTGGCTGCTCATTCTGGGGACCGTCCTGGAGACGCTCGCTCGACTCTTGCGTCGAAGCTCCGTCGAACGTCCGTCGATCTGGGTCGACCCTGAGTCGAACCTGAGTCGAACTTGAGTGGAACCTGAGTCGAACCTGCATCGAGCTCGAGTCGAACTGGGGTGGAACTAGAATCGAACAGAGCCGCCGGATGGGCCCCAGGGAGGTCCCCCAAACGAGCACCTAATCTTGAGGATGCCACGACTGTGGACCCTCTAACAACCCTATCATTGAATTAGAGATGTGTTTACAATGTGTAAAACATGTTCTAAACATGTTTCAGGCCTGGTTCTAAAATGCTTAAGGCATACTTGAAACATCTTCTAAACATCTGGGAATTATTTCGCAGCATGCTTCCTCTCCGTTGATCGTCCTCCACAAAGCTAGCCCTCCGAGCTCCTGCTCCACCCACTCCCGCAGCGCATGGACCATCGCCCCGCCCGCTCCCGGCGCGACGGAGCGCCGGGACGCGGGCGCGCCGGGCTCGTTCATGCTTCGGGCGCCGGGGAAGAGAGCGAGCGAGCGAGGCGGCTGGAGGAGGGGGAAGGGTCGCAGAGGGGGGCGAGGAGGACGAGGAGGCGTACAGACTGGAGAAGGACGAGGAGGAGGACGAGGAGGAGGACGAGGGGGAGGAGGACGAGAAGGACGAGGAGGACGAGGAGGACGAGGAGGACGAACAGGGGAGCGGAGAATGCCAGAAACATAAAAACTCGGAAGTCCTCGCGGATTTCTCGGGCCCGCGCTGGACACCCCCGGCGGCGCCTCCGGCGCCGCCCCTGGCGCGCTCCGCGCGCCATGGAGGGGGGTCCAGCGCCTATCCGAGAAATTCGCGCGGGCCTCCGAGTTTTTATGTTCATGTCATTTTTCTTCCCCTAGAGAAGGATTGGAGAGGGGGATGAGGACGACGAGGAGGCGCAAAAACTGGACTGCAACCTGGAGTGCTGAGGTCGTCTGTAGAGGGCAGAACATCCCCCCCCATAATCATCACCCCGACAAGCGAAGCCGTCTGGCAGACGCACCTTAGGAAGGCGTCGAACAGGGCAGGGCTGTTCAGTAAGCGCCCCCGGGCCGTCTCGTCAACGTCCATTGTGGGGTCCGGTCCTCCCTTGAGTCTAGGTGTTCCTGACATGCTCCCCTCAACAACGGGCCACAAGACTCGGGACGCCCATTGCCCCGAACTCAACCACCCTCGGCACGGCGAACCCGTGTACGGCACGGGTCTGGTGGGCGACCGTTGAGTTTATGTTTGATCAGGTTTGGAAATATTTTCTTGTTTTGTGTAAGCTGTCTTCCAAAACCCGCCTGCAGAGGGACATGCCCGGCTTAACGCTAGGCTTCTAGGGCGCCGCATTCAGAGTCGCCGTGGCCCCGGGCGGCAGAGCGGGCGCGAGGACCAAGCCCAGGAGGAGGAGGAGGAGGAGGAGGAGGAGGAGGAGCAGGAGGAGGAGGAAGCGAGGACACAGGCTGAGCGAGCTAGACCTTGGGACCATGTGCCGATCGCAGACTCAAGCCCTCTGCAAGCGCTGGCCCGCATCGGGCCGCAAGACACTAAACACGTGATCGGGATGACCTTGAGGCGACCTGTCGGTCAAATCGCCCTGCTGCCAGGGCGCGCGCAATCCAAGATCCGCCCCACAAGAAGGATGTACAGCCTGGGGTGCTCCACGGCACCGCTCCTGTCATGGACAACTACCTCGACCGCTGATCCTGCCATGGCCAGTAGGCTCAGCACGAGGCTGCTGCACAGAAGCTCGGCCCCGATCCAAAGGGCTCCCACGAATTTCATACCCAGCAGGGGGTTGCAAGACTTCCGCGGTTGCATGCTGCGACCTGCTCCGTCAAAAGGGCCTCGTAGAAACCTCGCGCCTGAAACTCGCGCAGAGGAAACTCGCGCCTGAAACCTCGCGCCTGAAACTCGCGCAGGAAGGCGCGCGCGCGGAGCTCCAGAGAGGCCAACGGAGAGTGGCCTGTGGAGAAGGTCGGGGTGACCCCCCGCAAACGGCAAGGCCCCCCCCCCTGCAGCTTCGGACAAACAACACGTCGTCGAGCGGTGCTGCAGCCTCCCTGAGCACGTGCGCGCCCCGGAGCATCAGCCAGACAGGTTGAGTTTGCACCCTCATGCCCTGCCGGGCTCTGGGCGCGTGTCGGCACCCTCCCCTCAGACCTCGCCAGGGCCACCGACCAGGGGGGGGGGGGCGGCGGTGGCCGCCGCGTCCAGGAGCTAGGCCGACGCGAAGCTCGAACCCTGGCGGGCGTGCAACGCCAGGGCAATCCGACCGACGACGACATACAGACCGACAGACAGACAGACAGACAGACAGACAGACCGACAGACAGACAGACAGACAGACAGACAGACAGACAGACAGACAGACAGACAGACAGACAGACAGACAGATAGACAGACAGACAGGCAGGCAGGCAGGCAGGCAGATAGACACACAGACAGATAGACAGGACCGAGAAGGCGCGGAGGAGGAGGAGGAGGAGGAGGAGGAGGAGACGGAGGAGGAGGAGGGGGAGGGTGAGGAGGAGGAGGAGGAAGAGGAGGAGGAGGAGGAGGACTATGGAGGAACGCAGGAAAGAGGAAGAAGATGCGAGGGAGAAAACACGGTACCCGGGGCGGACCTACAGGCAGTGTATGGCTCGACGCGAGACAGCTGGACGACGAGAGGAGGAGAGGAAGGACCCGAGCAGGAGCTGCTCACCCAGGGATTCCCTTCCACGAGCTTCCGCTCGAACTTTGATGGGCCAATGTTCCACCACCACTACCATAGGTTGGACGGAGGGGAGACGAGGATGGGGAGGTCCTCCTCCTCCTCCCCCTCCTCCTCCTCCTCCTCCTCCTCCTCCTCCTCCTCCTCCAGCTTGAGGCGGGGTGGTCACCGCTCTCACCGACAGGTCGGGAAGTGCCGCATGATGGTACCACGATGACTCACACTTGGCTCTTCGGCAGTGGGGACGTCGAGGCGCTTAACCAGGCGAACCCTCTCTTGGATGAGTTGCAGCGAACTTTCGAGCTCAAGCAATGGCGAGAAGCTTCGTCGTTATTCTGTGGGTCGGGCCTGGAGGGAGGCACGGATCTGGGCTCTCTGCAGGCTATGTAGGCTTAGCTGTCGCCACTTTGTCGTGCTGCAGTCCTCTCCTCCTGGGTCCTCACCTCTTCGGGCCTCTTACAGCTCCGGCCCAGAGTGTTCCCCGAGGGGAGTTGAGAGCCTTCGAATGGGCTCTGCGATTCTCTCTTGGAGTGTTAGTTCATGGAACTGACTGTGCTGAAGTCGCTCGGGGGTGGCATGCTGAATTGTTTCGGCGGCCCGAGGGCCCCCAGGCAGACATCTGGCGCCAGGTAGGCAGGCTTCTGCTAGCTTAAGACAGGCAACCACCTAGCATCGTAGTCATGCAGGTCCCGTTTCATTTATCGGGGGCGCGCAAACATGGATTAACCATCCATGGCTTTGGCGCGCGGTCGCCAAATCCATGGATCGGGGGAGGCGCCCTCCCGAAAATGCGGTCGGTGCTGCCTCGTTCGGCGGCGGAAATCCGCGATTCCCCATGGAAAAGGGACCCGTCGCTAATCAACGCCCCCTTAACCCATGTTTGCGATCGCCTGAATTTAAAGGGGGTCGAAGTATTGGCTCGTAATATCCAGTCCTGGCTTGTGCTGGGCAGTGCTTGTGTAGACGCCCTCGCTGGAGAGACTGCCGCGCGCGCGAGCTCCCTGGGGCAGTCGTCACCCGGTCTTGCTCATTGAGCAGCAACCTCGGACTGTGCGAAGGAGGCTGCTGCGAGTTGCACTAGACTCAACTCAGGCTTCCCAGTTGGCTGGAGAAGGTCAGGCTAAGGTCCCCCCTGGTCCTCCGCCTCCGCCTCCCCCTCCTCCCCCTCCAATAGCTGTTGCACGCTTCGCGTCCAATGCTTCCAATTCCTGCACGTAAATCGCCAATTAGCCCGAGTGCCCAGGGGGCGGCGTTTACACATGGCTGGCGGTTGGACCCATCCCTCCCATGCCCTCATATATCAGGAATGCCTTCAACTGTGGTACTGTGGCACTTGTGGCTTCTTCGGTCAGGCTCAGCTCAGGGGCCTTGCACAGCCATGTAAACTAGGTGCACTATCGAAGGCCAGGCGCGAATATCCCGATTGAATTTCTCGCGGCCTGTTTCCCAAATGCTGAGCTGTTTGCGTCGTACCACTACGGCATGGCGGAACTCCTGGAACTCCTCCTCCTCCTCCTCCTCCTCCTCCTCCTCCTCCTCCTCCTCCTCCGCATCCGCATCCTCCTCCTCCTCCTCCTCCTCCTCCTCCTCCTCCTCCTCCTCCTCCTCCCCCTCCTCCCTCTCCCATCTATGGTGGTGCTGGTGGACGACAGGTCCATCGAACTCTGCCAGACGCCCCGCGGCGGCGCCCCCCGAGGCCCCGCGAGGCGCGGATGCCCGACCCCGCAGACTGCCCCCCCCGCGGCGTGCAGGTGGCTGGCCACCGCTCGCTCGAGACACGCCCGTGGAGGAGATCGACGCTGGACGCCCGGCATGGGTACGGAAAGAACGGATGCAGTGCGGGCAACAGTTATATCCACATCCAGTGCGTCTTGGATTCTTGGGCTCTCTTCCCCAGAAGCCGTAGACGCACTGGATATGGGTAAAAATCTGGCCCCAAGAGGCTTGATGGTATCCATGTCCAGTGCGCCTCGGCGTTGCGGCACCTCTTCCCAAAAAGTCCACGACGCTCTGGATATGGAAAGAAGTATTGCCCGCGTACAGTGCCCAACAACAAATGTTGTCCCAAACCGACCGCGGCCGCTGCTGGGCAAGTGGCCTTCTGCCTTGGATGGACGCAGGCCGCGGCGGCGCGGACGGCGCGTCCTGTTCAGAATGAGCAGGAGCTGCTGTTGGGCATCGTCCCCCTTCTTTCCGTGCCCATTTCGTTCGTGCCGATCGCCTGCCCGGCCTGCGCTCGCCCGGGCGCGCGGGACGCCCCAGGCACGCACGGGACCCTGAGATCCGACGCGGCGGACGACATGCAGCATCGGAAAACTCACGACGGGAGCCCTGGACCCCATCTTTCTGCACCGTTGGTCGAGCCAAATCGGGGAAAGTGGTTTTGGGCTTTGTCGCGAGGATGGCGTTACCGGCTCCGCCCCCCCCTCCCCCCCCAGGTAACGTCACGACTCTTTCCCGCGCCATCTGGGAATGCCTCAGGATAGCCTGGGAAAGCTCGAGTAACAATTGCCTGTTGTGATTTGCTATGGCAGAGCGCGAGCCTCGCCTTGGATATGCAAGGACCCGCGATGGATAGCTACAGATCTCTACGCGCAGCGCAGGGGATAGCTGGGAATAGAATGTGGTTGTGCTCCATCCTCTCCCGTCCCTCCTCCGCCTCCTCCTCCTTTCTCTCCTCCTCCTCTCGTCGTCCTCGTCCTCCTCATTGCGTTGCAGGGTGCTTCGCACAAGGGCAGAAGCATGAAGGAGGCGCAGGCAGGAGGGAGGGGGCGAGGCGGGCGGGGACAGGCCGAAACGACCTGTTCGATTACACTTCTGTCACCAAC